CCAGGATGCTCCTTAGAGGCAAAGATGATGAAACTTTGCCTTGCATGCTTTGGGAATGTTGTCAAAAGGAAAGGGCCAGTCCTTGGAAACAGACATTGTGCTGGAAAAAGCGAAGGGTCAGGAAAAGAGAGGAAGACCCCGAGCAGAACGGATTGACACAGTGACTATAAGCATTTTGGAGATTGTGAGGATTATACAGGATAGGGCAAGGTTCAGAGCTGTTGTTTACAAGGTAGCTGTGAGTCGTAATCAACTCGATGGCACAAAACAACAACATTGGAACACACTTGGATCAGTAAGCAACATCATGATAAATGGAGACAATAATAAAGTTGTCCCAGATTTCCATTTTCTTGGAACCTCAATCCACACTCATGGAATCAGCAGCCAAAAAATCAAAGGACATTTTGCACTGGGCAAATCTGCTGCAAAAGACTTCTTCAAAAATGTTAAAATCAAAGATGTCATTTTGAAGACTAAAGGGTACCTAATACAAGCCATGATCTTTTCAATCATTTGCTATGCATGTGAAAGTTGTACAGTTAATAAGGAATGTTGTTGTTGTTTTTTGTTATGTGCCATTGAGTCACTTGTGACTCATAGCAACCCTATGTACAAGAGCTCTAAACGGAATAAGGAATACTAAAGAAAACCATATGCCTTTGAATTACGATGCTTGCAAAAAAATATTGAATATACTATGGATTGTCCATGCAGTGCTCCCCTGTTCTGTTTACACAACAGCCTTCTGGTCCAGGTATAGGTTTTGCATGAGCACAATTAAATGCTCTGAGACTACCATTCTTCTCAATGTCAGACACAACTTGTTACGATACACACAGTCAAATGCCGTTGAATAGTCAATAAAACACAAATAAACATTCTTCTGGTAATCTTTACTTTCAGCCAGTATGTATCTGACATCAGCAATGATATTCCTGATGCCATGGCCTCTTCTAAATCCTGCTTGAACTTCTGGCAGTTCCCTATATATGTACTATTCAAACTGGTTTTGAATGATCTTCAGCAGTATTTTGCTTGCACGTGATATGAATGATATTGTTCAATAGTTTCCATATTTTATTGGATCACTTTTCTTGCTAATGGGAACAAATATGGACCTCTTTTAATCCTTGGGTCAGACAGCTGTCCTCTAAATTTCCAGGCATAGATTGATGAGCACATCTAAGAGGCTGCTTCTGTTAATTGAAACAAGTCAATTGGTATAACATCGATTCCTGGGACCTTATTTTTTGGCAGGGCCTTCAATGACACTCCCATTTCCTTATTTACTATCATTGGCTCCTGTGCATATGGTACTTCCTGAAGTTTTTCAGTGCCAATCACATCCTTTGGGCATGTTGCTAGAAGGAGCTATTCCTTGGAGAAGGGCATGATGCTTAGATGGGTGGAGGGTCAGAGAAGGAGAGGAAGACCTTCAACCAGGTGGTTTGACACGGTGACTGTTGCAATGGGCTCCAGTGTGTCAGGACATGTGAAGATGACACAAGGTTCAGATCTATTGTTCATAGGGTCACTATGAGTCATACAGCACCTAACAACAACAATGGGTTGTGAGAAGAATGAACAAATTTCTCTTGAAAGAAGTAACAGTCCGAGTATGCTTTAGCAACAACGATGGTAGGACTTTGTTTTATGTAATTCGGACATTGTCACACAGTTTCAATCCTTAGAGAAAGACAACATGCTCGGTAAAGCAGAAGGCCAGCATAAAAGGAGACCCTCAATGCAATGCATTGACACTGTAGCTGCAACAATGGGTTCAAACACAGCAACAAATATGCAGATGGTATAGGACCCAGCAGTGTTTTGTTTGTTTGACAGAGAATTGCTATGAGTCAGAACAGACTCAACAGCATGAACAACAACACAGCCAAGAAGTGGATTAAACAGCAGGGTCCGCTCCTTACAGGGCAGAAGAAGCCCTGAATCCTAGGTAAGATGAAGGGCAGGAATAATCACAGATCCACTTACTCTGGCCTCCAAGAAAGAGGAAGTGGCCTGACTGGCCCTGTTCTAGTCTCAGGTTTGTCAGAGGCAAGTGGTGACCCTGAAATGCAGTTGACCATTTCTAAGTCTCAAGTCTCAGTTTCTTCTTCTGTAAATTGGACGTATTATTCTTTGCCCAGCTTGCTTTACAGAAGAATAAAAAAAAATTTTAGGACAATGATAGTTCATTTCCTATATTTCTAGGACAATATTTAAGGGAAAAATATTTCTGTGATGAATCAAAAAAGCATATTTTTTTCATTTTTGTCTCAAGTACATACATTTAAAATAATTAAAAATATACATTTACATGTAATAATGAGCCTCATACTTCTAGGCTCTATAAAGTGAGAGAAGAACATTCTTGCAAACTTTAAATAAGCAAGTCAAATTGCAGGTTGTCCCTGATATTTATGATCGTAGGAATTATAAGGAACACATTTAGAACCACCTGCTATTTTGGGGGGTTACATCTTATCTTTAGTATGCACAAGGTGTACACTTTGCTGATGTTACCATTCTCAAATATTTACTCACAGATGTTCAAAGATTGGATTTATAAAGATGCTGGTAATAAAACACAACAAGGAAAGTTTTTAAAAAAAACCCAACAAAATAATCAACTGATGTCAGAACTGACTTACAGCAAAGTTCTCCCAATGGAACCTCACAGTAGGTAAGCGTAGGACTATTTGTAAAATACAAGTACCACGCACCTTCTCAGGGGGCAGTTGAGGGAACAGAAACTCCAGAAACACATAAAGCCTGAGAAATCTGAGGCACCCTCGATCTGCAGGGAAGCTCAGAGAAGGTTTAAAGAATAGAAAAGTCTTCCACTAACAACCCAAAAAGTCCCCGATGTGAAAGGGGCTGGATGGGCTTAAGATGCTACGGTGGGAGAAACTTGGCCCCTTCCTTCAGCCGCTGGAAATGCTCCGACTGTCCTCCTCTCTGAAAGGCAGAGGTCTTAGTTTCACCTTCTGTAAATTGGACCTATTATTACTCCTTGCCCAGCTTGCCCTTATATTCTCCAGGGAAGGCCCTGCGTCTGTAGAGATACACTGCAAAGAGCCTGTGCCACAGAAATGTACAGCCTCATTTACGACTGGGATATATGCCCTATGAACCTTGGAGAAGGCCACTCCCCTTCTCTAAGCTGGTGTTCTTTTCCCAAAGAGAAACATGAATGCCTATCGCATTGTGGTTTGGAAGGGTCAATGGGCACAGCAAGTCAGAAAGCATCCTACCTGCGTTACTGTTCCTTGGCCTCGTCCTCCAGAACATTGCTGGGGTGAAAGAGGAGGGCTGTGTGGAGCTGAGCAAGTAGCACAATCTCTCTGATCTTCCAAAAATATTGGATGGAGGGGAGCTCTGGTGGCCTAGTGGCAAGGAGCTGCAACTACAATCCCAGAGGCACACGGTTCAAATCCACCAGATGCTCTGCTGGGAAAAGGAGGGACAATCTCCTCCTGTACGAGTCAGATCTGATTTGACGGTACACGCACACACACACACACACACAC